CCCTTGCCAGCCTGATTGCCCCCAAATGCCCCCCACCAGCCTGGTCACCCCCAACTGCTCCCTCTGCCGGCCTGTTTTCCCCCAACTGCCCTCCCCTTCTGGCCTGATCGCCTCTAACCACCTCTGACTTGGCCCTGCCACCATGGCTTTGTCTGGAAGGACATCCAGAAGGTCTCCCAGTCTAATTATAATTAGCATATTACCCTTTTATTAGTATAGATTTTGCAGATGAGGAATCTGGAGGAAAGGTTAAATAATGTGTCCAAGTCACACAGCTAGTTCAGCAGTGGGTTGCAGGTTCTGGCTCTAGGGTCCATGCAATTTGAGGGTAGGAATGAATGGGTGGAGAACATTAAAGATGTGGATTGAAATGATATAATACAGAATCACTAGATCTTAAAGATGACAGCGACAAGACAGAGCTAAAGGAGTAATAACAATGCAAAACAGAAACAAGTAGTTCATCTGAGTCAATCACGCATGAATTTCTGGGATGGGAATCACACCTGTGGCCTCAGGACCCTGACGATGACTGCTCTCAGCTGTTCGTGCTGCCGTCGAAACTTCCTCATCTGGTCTAGGCGAGCCTGAAGCTTCCTGTGGGCAGGGTTGATTCGCCACACCATCTTCAGATTTTCTTCCCGTTTCCGTTTGACAATGTCTCTCAACAACACCTGAAGTTTCTCATATTCATCATCCCAAGTCTGAAACACTTCAAAGCACGCAACCATAACCTAGGATGTAATTGAAGAAAGGAAGCTTGTTATTATAGCGCAGTTTGGTCTCAATGCCCCGAGGTTGGTTTCTGATATAGTAAAACGTACTTTTTCAAATTCTTCGTAAGCAACATGCATTAGTTTTCTAGTGCCCAACACTTTGAGTAACTGGGAACTCAAGTCTCTTGAAATGGCCTCCACCAAGCGCAGGGCCCTCTGGATGGGATACTTCGTGTTCCGGATCTTTCTCAAATGGGTGAAGATCGCCACAAGAGCCTGCCTGATCTTGTCCAGCTCAGTGGCAGACAGCAAATCGTTCAGAGGGAAATCTTTCATCAGAGGGTTGTAGTCATTCACGGTTTCCAAAGCCTGTTTTAGACCTAGATTAAGAGACAGTTAATGGTTTTCATATAAAGTAAAACAACTCTAACATAATGGTAGATGTCAATCTTACCTCGACTGAAAAGTAATGCAACTACAGGATATTCCGTACAGGCCTACTACTGGGAAAGTAAACTGAAATGTGTCCTCATTATGGGACAGTTGAATGTTGCAAAAGATTTAGTGACAAAGAAACTATTTGATATTTGGGGAAAAAACTCATTAATAGGATGATCCTAGCACAGCCTCAGAATATGGCAAAGATTTAGTGACAAAGAAACTATTTGATATTTGGGGAAAAAAACTCATTAATAGGATGATCCTAGCACAGCCTCATTTTCACTTGTTAAAGAGCATCAGGGATACCCTCATAGTTCATCTTCTTTTGCTTTCTAGATTATCTAAATGTTCTACTAAAAACAAGTTTAAAAAACTAGAATTTCATCATCTTTAAAAACACTAGAATTTAAATTTTATGCCCATGGCACAAGTTAGGTGAGTACGTTATTGACACAATCACAGAAACACCTGGGTCCTAGTCTAGTTTTTTACTTCCCTGGAACAAGATTTTTGAAAACATGTTAAAAAGACATAAAGGTTTCGGAGGTGTTACAGAAAATTCAAGAATACTTTTCCACGTTAGTAAATGCCCAGGTAACGTGTACAGTGTGATTAATGTAATAGGACGATTTCCACCCAAAATTTCCTCTAACATTTGCCGACTGTGGTCCGGCTGCTGGCCCTAACGGGCCTCGTGGGCATGGAGTCGTACACACATGCTAACTGTGCCCGAGCGCTCCAACGTTCGTGTGCCCACTGGGTGCTAACGAAACACCATTCGCTGCGGCCCACGCAGAAAAGTAAAGGCTCCTCGCCCCCTTTCAGAACAGGGAGGGGAGCAGAGAACAGGATGGAGCAGGTGAGAGGAGGAAGAGGAAGTACTGAGCAGCTCTCTGTCCCCAGCCCTGCAGGCAAGTAACTGCTGCTTCTGTGAACCGTCTTCCTGCCACCTGTCTGGGGCACACTGACTTCACACTGAAAGCACAGCCTGCCCGGGGGACTGAGTAACAGGGACAGGATGGAACTCCCACGGCTCCCGACACTCAGGCCTAGAAACCGGCTGTGTCCTCCAAACCCCGGGAGGAAACGGAGGTATGTGGAAAGTCACTTTCATTACCTAGGACTGGGGGAGATATGAGACAAGATGCGAGAGGAAAAGGAAAGGTGGTGCATATATTAACTTTCATCTCAATTACCAGCAAGGTCTCACAAAAGGCAGATTAAGTGCCTGATCGATGATCAGTTCTAGTTTTACCTGTGTCAGTGTCGAAACTGACAGTGGCATGGAAGCGCTTGCCATGCTTCAGGATATCCAGCGTAAGCAGGACCTCGGGGCTCTCGCGCTTCTCCTGTATGCGGTACAACGCACGTTCCAAGTTCAGCCAAAAACTGATTTCTTGTAAGGCCGTTCCCGAAGCAGGGTCTCGGTCAAGTTTGGTCACCTTTAAACATAAAATAACACTGAAGGGTATTCACATTTAAATAAAGGAGGAAAAAGTATCATTAACTAAACGCATGCATTACAATTTAATTTCCATATTTCAAGTGGATTTCCTGCCTGTAAATGACAAGTAGTTGAACTTGTCACAGGTAGGAAAGAGGTCAGACGAAGGCTCAGGGTGATGGTGCGCGTCTCCCACTTCCCCGGGCTTGGCAGGCCTGCTGAGCAGTCCCGGCTCCAAGGGCAGGTACGGCCAACAGTCACCCAAGAATTTACCTCACAGATAACAGAGCGTGAAGCCTTTACAACTACTTTCAGCCTGTGCTCTTACTTTCTGAATTTCTCGGATCCAGCGGTTAACTCCGGATTGTAGCTGATTGAGAAAAGTTGGGTCTTCAACCTTATCTCCAAAGTCTGTAACTTTGGGCTTTTCTCCACGCTCATAACACTGCTTTGCGACATTTGTAATAATTGGATGAATTGGCAGGCTGATCTCTGGAATTTCAATGTTTTGCTGCAGGTGAAGGAGTCCCATTTCAAGTTCTGCAATCTTTTTTTCAACTGAAGGAGCCATTTTATCACCATCCCTAAAAAGACAGAAAATATTTCAATACTTAGTGCACTATTGGTCTCCAAGACATGTTCTTATTTCAGATCTGTCAAATATTAATAGTAAACATTTTATTAACACAACAGATTTACATCCTCTTGGTTGTTAGCTCTACCTCCCGATTCCTGAATTTTACATCATTTTCCAATGTCTTGTGAAGATGTAGTGAAATATGATTCAAACCAACAAAGGGAAAATGGTTTTTACCTGTCTGCCTTGCCAGACTCTCTGATGTAGGACTTAAAGAAAGGAGCCACCGCATTGCTAATGAAAGAATGCAAGGTTTCATAAGGGGAGTCCTCGCTGAGCGTGAGAACGCGGAGCTGGGAAGACACTGGTTTGTCTGCATCAATGACTGGAGTGCGTTTAATGAATGCCAAGCTACAAGAAAGCAAAGAAGAAATTAGAACACAAAGTCTCATTCCTAATCGGTCTTGACAACTGTGGCCTTCTCTGTGTTGCATACAAATTAAAAATTCATTTGGCCCTGGCCGGTGTTGCTCTGTGGTTAGAGCATCAACCTGCACACCAAAAGGTCTCCGGTTCGATTCCCAGTCAAGGGCCCGTATCTGGTTGCGGGTTTGCTCCCCATCCCCGGCCAGGGAACATGTGGGAGGCAACCAGTTGATGTGAGATCTCACATTGATGTTTCCCTCCCTCCCTCCCTCCCTCCCCTCAACTCTCTGAAAAGCAATGGGAAAAAATATATGGTGAGGATTAACAAACAAAAATATTCATTTGACTGTTTCAATTTAAAAATCCTATTAAGAATAGACTAAATTGTTGCTTTTCTAATATTGAAACACAGTGCTCATCTTTACTCACATGAGAACTAACCAAATCAAGGTTATGGTTATAGCAAGGGACCGTGAAACCAAGCAAAATTCATTTGTCTTATAAATGGGTTACATTCATAACCTTGGCCTCATTAACACTAACCTTCCTAGCAACTGCAGGGTACAAGCCATAACGTACTTAAATCTGATCTTAACACTAATTTGTACCATTCACTTATGGCCCAGAGTCACATATCAGCTTGAATAAGCAAAGTCACGCCCAGGTTAAAGTGAAAGTGGGCATTCCAGGCCCCACTGCTCTCCCAGTTCCATCTCCTGCTGAGCCCCCCTTCCCTTCCCCACCTCAGTCACTACTTAAGCTAGATGTTCCTTTCTCCAAACGTGTCGTGTGCTTTTGTGCCTTTGCTTAAGAAATCGATATTCAGCTGCTGAAATTCCAAGTAACCCTGAAAACCCGCTTCCTGCACTGCTTCTTCCACAGGGCCTTCCCTAGCAAGAAGCAATCTCGCCGACCTCCATGTTTCAGGGCAGCTCGCACCGCTAAGACCGTCAGGTGCAGAGATGGCTGTGTACTCACCACCTTCCTCCCAAACACCACAGGCTTCTGGGGAACAGGACCCAGGTTTATTGTTTACATACCTACTGCATGTCTTATGTAAGCAGGTGCTCAAAGGTGGCTGGATTAATATCTTTAAGAAAATTAATATCTGAATTTTCCTGTTCCCAGGCCAGTATTTTATATACAATACTTAATATTCTAAAATGTCAATGAGGTTTCCTGATTGGACACCATGAGAGGAACAAAGTTGCAACAGAATTCCTGCCAAAAATGTACAACCTGAATCTGACCATGGACAACACAGACAAACCCAACTGAGGGATGTGCCGTAGACCACCATCTGTCCTTATCCAGGTCAACGTCATGAAAGACACAAAGGACCAACACAGACAGACACAGAACTGAATTCTGGGTCCCGGGAGAACTGCTGTGAGGAGCTTTACCGAGACAGTCTGAACCCTGGACCTGAAGGACAGCATTGTTCCAATATTGCATTTCCGGAGGCTGATCACTGTGCTGGGGCTAAGGATGGGGATGTCCCTGTTCTTAGGAAATACTCTGAAGTATTTAGGGAAAAGAGGCAGGTTGTCTATAACCAACTCTGAAGTGGTTCAGGGGAAAAATGAGAATGCGAACGTGCTAATGTTAACAGCTGATACCTGGGAGTTCTATATACTAGTCATGAAACTCCTGTAAGCTCGAAATTATTCAAAATAACAAGTTTTAAAAGCAAACACAATCTATTATAACATCTCTATATTTAAATCTGGATAAGTCTACTGGAGTATAAACAGGCACAATATTTCTAGAAGGTGGAAAATCTGGTAACACACATTGAAAATGTCGATGCACCACGTCTGAACCTGTGACACTGTTTTTAGGGATTTGTCCTAAAAAGACTCAGACCTGTACCTAACAGTGTTTACCAGTTATCTATACTAATAAAAGGGTAATGTGCTAATTAGACCGGGAGACTTTCCGGACATGCTTCCGGACAAAGCCATGGTGGTGGGGCCAAGGCAGAGGCAGTTAGGGGCGATCAAGCCAGGAGGGGAGGGCAGTTGGGGGCGAGCAGGCCAGCAGGGGGGGCAGTTGGGGGCGAGCAGGCTGGCGGGGAGGGGGGCAGTTGGGGGCAAGAAGGCCGGCAGGCAGAGTGGTTAGGGGCAATCAGGCAGCCTAAGCGACCAAACGACCGGTTGCTATGACACACACTGACCACCAGGGGACAGACGCTCAATGCAGGAGCTTCCCTTGGTGGTCAGTGGGCTCCCACAGTGGGAGCGCTGGTCGCTCAGCTCACTGACGGGCACCCAGCCCAGGCTCGGGCTCCTCCCTGGCCACCTGCCGCTTCGTGCACTACTACATCCCTCAGGGGATGTCGGACTGCCGGTTTCGCCCGATCCTCGGCTTGGCCTGTGGGGACTGGGCCAAAACCAGCAGTACGACATCCCCCAAGGGGTCCCAGATTGCGAGAGAGTGCAGGCCAGGCTGAGGGACCACTCCGGTGCACGAATCTGTGCACCAGGCCTCTAGTTTATAATAATGATGATTCAAATATAATCTGAGGGCATTATTAGATATGTTACAATGGGTGCCATGACATGGATATTAAAGTAAAATTATTTTAGAATTTATCTTAATTTGGAAATCCTCTTAACTTGAATTCATGAAATCAAAGATAAGATAATGAAATTACAGAGTAGAAATCTTTTGAGTGTATTCTTAATGTCTTCGTCTGAGTCCGTTAAGATTGATGCTTAATTCTCGCAAGCTCAGAACCCGAGATTATGGTTACAGTCACACTACTCACCTGTTGGACTTGACTCCATAATGAATGTCTATATTGATATTATAGGAAATGAATTCTTTTTCTTCTTCTCCTTCATCACCAACATCCTCTACAAATTAAAATAAATATTGTATCACATTCTTGTCAACATTTCCAATTTTGAGTCAGCTCTACTTATTCTCCCTTCCTACCCATTCTTTTCCTGACTCCTGCCCTGGGCCCTCCTTTGCTGCATAATCTTGGGCAAGGGGGTGAACCTCTCTGGGCCTCCGTTTCTGTGCCTGGGCTGTTGGACACATTAAGGAGCTGTTGCTGGGCAGTGCTGCAGGTGGGCGGGCGTGCTGTGCTAGGGGAGTGGGGGTGCCTTACAGCCAGTTCTCCAGGCCCCACCCACTCCCACCTTGGCTCCCTACACAGAAGTTACCTCTCTCTTCCCTTCCTCTCCCTCCCCTGCCCCCCCCCCCATTCTGCTCAGTTGCTAACTCAGCACTTACTATGTGACAGGCATTTTACTAAGTACTTTAGCTACATCATGTCTTTAACCCTCACTACAATCTATGGGGACTGGGATGACTATCACTATCCTTGTTTCCCAGGTAAGGAATGTAAGCAAATTGTCCTCAGACCGTGGCTGGAAAGGGACAACCTAAGAATTCAGCAGTCAGTGATTCTAAACCCAGTGTCCTCACCAGTACACAGGCTGCCTCTCCCTCATCCAGGCCCCCAGGGCAAACTGCTGTCTAGCATCACCCCAGGGTCCCTGAGAGGTGTTCCCCTCGCCTTCCCCTCTGCTCCTGGAGCACTTCTCATGGCCTGCTGGGGGATCGACTTAGGGATGCACTTCCTCCCCCACGGTGGACTCCTGATGCCCAGGAGCCCTTTGAAAAGCTGGCTGGATTTAACAGTAAGATAGCTCAAGACACATGTGAGCACAATTTCTAAATGGCTGAAAATCAAAACAGAAAAATTAAAATAAAAACTGTGTAAGAACGGAAATAATGCAAACCTGTAGGTGTAGCACTAACCCACCAGAGGCCTGGATGATCTAGTCAATTATTTCCGCAATGGTAAGTTACACGGAAACGTGTGCTAGCAGAAATCACTATCCCAGGATTAAGTTAACAGTATGTATGTGAAATCACTATCCCAGGATGAAGTTAACATGGTTCGTTCGCCTTCACTTTCACCTCCGTGATGGAACAGCATAGGCAGCAGACGTAGCTAAGTGATCTTGGGAAGGCCATTTTTCCTCCTCTGGGCTTCAAATTCATGATGTGACACGGGCAGCAGGGCGTGGGGGAGTAAGTCAAGTGGCCTACATGAGATGTCCCGTTTCTTTAAGTGCTAAACACTAGGAAATCTCAGCGTACAGGGCCTGAGCAAAAGCCCTACTTCATTAGTTTTCACACGAGACAAAACCCACGCTTCAAGTGTATAAAATATGACTATGTCAATAAGACAATGACTCTTTCAAAATACTGTTTTTGGTATAATTTTAGGAAGGGGAAGAATGGCAGAACATTCTAGTCTGCCAGATACAAGTTGTTTTTTAAAAATGACTAAAAACAAAACAAAACAGCCCCA